AGAAACCGCCTTCATTTGATCTCAGTTAATTAGGTATCAATCAGCAGGCTCACAAGGGATGAGTTGAAATTTACCTCAGCATTGAGAGACATTTTTTTTTTTTCATACATTGAAAATGAATTCGGAAACCGAACATCAGGTGAATGTTGGGGGAGACAACCAAAAAAACCAAACCAAACCAAAATAAAAATAATAAATGAAATGAAACAGAGTTAGGTAATTGCTCTTATGGTAACAATGACCTATTACAAATCGTATAGTTGTAGACAGTAGAAAGAGTGTTGTCAAATGAGTTTTTTGCTCTGAGTGCCTGCCCCGGTTCTGCCCTCACAGCTGGTTCACTTCAAGCACACTACAGCTCTTCGTTGACCTTTAGTTAATCCCTCTTTGTTTTGAGTATCTAATAGGGCCATAACAGAAGCAACACAAGGGGGTGACTTTACCAAACAGAACTTTATTTTCTCACAGTTTAGGGGACTAGAAATTTGAATTCAAGATGCTAGCCCTAGGAGAAAGCTTTCTCTCGGTGTTTGCTTTGGGAGAAAGGTCTTGTCTCTTTGTGCCATGTGGTGATTTTCATGTGGCATGGCATCTGTCTTCCCCATCACTGCTCCTTTTATAGCTCAAAAGAGATTGACTCAAAATGTGTCCAATTCTAGTAGATCATAAACATAACAATGAAAACCCCTTCACAAATGGGATTATAACCATAGGTAGGGATTCGGATTTATAATGCAGACTTCTCGGGAGCAAAATGAATCCATGGCATTCCATAAAATCAGAAGTTGCTCCCCATAGCCTCTTGGAACAACTGTATCCCTGTGTGTTAGTCTGGGTCCTTTAGAGAAACAAATCCTCAGAGACTCATGTATAAGAGAAAGTTTTATATAAAGGGTAAGTGCACATCAAGAAAACATCCCAACCCAGTGCTGCCCAAGCCCACAAGTCCAACATTAACCCATATGTCCAACACCAATTCACAAAGTCCTCCTCCATCTCACAAAGCACATGCAATGATGCCGACTGCAGGAGGAAAGCTGAGTCAGTGAATGTGTAAGCATCTCAGCGCTGGCAGGGGTCTCCACATGGTGCTCCAGCACCCAGGGCTGCATCAGGGTAGGTCCATGCGGCTTCTCAGGGATGTCTCACAGGAAGTGAGCCTTGCCAGTTAAAGCAGGGAACTGACTGAGGCAGCTGCAACCTGGTCCAACCATCACAAAGCAAGAGACCCGAGAACTAGAAAGGAAAGGCTCACTGAACCATTTATCCCTCTGCCTTTCAAATAACCCCACGTGTTTATCGGCCAGGTGGACACAGTAAACTAACTACCTTACCCTGGATAGCAAGTACTGTGCTTCCTTGCAAATAAACCCTAGACCATTGTTTCTGAACCTGCCTCTTGCTGCAGCCCTGTCATATACTTCCTCATGTTGTGGTGAACCCCAACCATAAAACTATTTTCATTGCTACTTCATCACTATAATGTTGCTACTGCTATGAATTGGGCGACCCCTGTGAAAGGGTTGTTCAACCCCCAAACGGGTCATGACCCACAGATTGAGAAATTCTGCCCTAGAGCTTCAGTATACCTGGCAACTCAAGCACCATAGGAAGAGGTGCTCTCTCTGGCTAGAAGATGTGTTCCTCAGAGCCTAAGAACACCAGTGCTTCCCCGTTCCAATCTACCCCACTCACTTTGCCAGGACGATCTTTCCAAAGGCCCTTCTGACCTTGTCTCTTCTTTACCTCTGTAAAGTACCAGCTCCTTAGCAAGACATACAAACAAGGTCCTTCACAATGTCTCTAGCCCACGCCTTGCTCATCCTTTACTCAAATCTTGGGTGTCCCCAAGAATGAAGTATACACAACTTACAGAATGCCCAGCACACTTCAAACTCAATGTGTTTACATGTGCTGTTCTCTGTGTGCCTGGGAACTAACTACTGCAGACCCTCCATATCTTAGCTTGAGCAGTCACTCTGCTGTAATGCTTCCCCCAGCTTCCCTAGAGGGAGGGCATGATTATTTTGGCCTCTCGTGCTTTTCTCCATTGCAGTCCTGAGGTGGTCTATGCGCCAACTCCACTAGGACCGTATTCTCTACCTGAGGTTCGTTCTATTTATCTTTATGTTTCTCGGGTCCATGCGGAGATACTAAATGGTTTATTGCATAGATGAATGAACACAGCATTTGAAAGTAATAAAAAGACAATTTTATAGCTACTTAATTTTGAAAGTTCTCTTTTTTTTTGAGATTAGCTTCCCCATGCTAATCTGAATTAGTCAATGTTGCTAACTTTTGGGGGATTCTCTAAGAACGATTTGCTATCAAGATTTTGTTTTGAGGCTTGCAGTTAAGATGCAGAGAAGGTTTAGTTAGTGAACTGAGACTGAATGTTTAAGAAAAGTCATTTGGAAAATGTCACGGGCAACTTTGAATAGTGCTGTTCTCATCCCATGGCAGTAGAGACTGGCTTACTTGCTATTCTGTGAAGCCAAATCACAGCTATGTTTCCGCACACCCATTAAGACTCATACTGTTAGAAAAGAGTAACCTTCCTCAGATTCCATAAATGTTTTGCCCCTGGAGATACTCAAGTGAAAGCTAGAAGCCCATCTGATGCGATTGCAGAAGGGACTTCACGCATTTTATTTCACCTGCTTTTATTCCCCCACTTTATGAACTTCCACAAGTAAGCATGAGAAAAGTGAGGCTCAGAAAGCTACGTTTTTGAATTATTTCAGTCCTACTGACATTTTGAAGGAGCTTTGGTGGACTAGTGGGCTACACATTGAACTGTTAACCACAAGGTCTGCAGTTAAAATCCACCAGCCTCTCTGTGGTAGAAAGATGAGGCTCTGCTCTTAAAAAGATTTAAAGTCTCAGAAACACCCAAAGGGCAATTCCATTCTGTCCCATGAGACTCATAGGGTCTCTATGAGTCAGGACTTATTGACAGTGAGGTTTGAGTTTATTGGTATTTTGGATTGGACAATTCTTCATCATTGAGGGCTAGCCTGTGTAGTGTGAGATGTTCTATTGTTAGTTTTGGCCTGAGCAGTTCTTTTTTGATGGGAAGTAACCTGTGTTTTATGGGGTGCCCAACAGCATCTCTAACGTTTACCCATTACATGCCAGGAAAACTCCCAAATATGAAAACTAAAAATGTCTCCAGACATTACCAAATATCCGGTAGGAAATAAAATAATCCCTACTGAAAACAACTGAACTAAATGAAAGAATATATAAACATTACCTGAGGAAAAATGAAAGGCTAGATTTAGTCCATGTTTAAAGTTTGCTTTTAATTTTTGTAACATTTTGTTAGCATTAATTAGATTTGATAAATGTACATTGCAGACCTCATTGAGAGGCCCTGAAAAATACACAATGCTTCAATAGAGAATTGAAGAAGAAATCCAGAGTCTCTTTAAACGACATACAAATAACCCTTGCAGTTTATTGAGACAGAAGAGGCAGTGTGGTTCAAGTGGATGTACAATACGTCTAAAGAGTGCGGCTCCAAACACTAGAATATAGTAGTCATGCTCATAGCGTTAGGCACCGGGATGCGTGGATTTGAAATAGTATCCTTGATATGCTCCAGCTGTTTTATTAGCGGACAAGTTAATTACAGCCCTGTCTCATCTTTTCAGCTGTATGATAGGAATGATAACACTAGAAAATATCAAGGAAATTGGGTTGCCGTAAGTTGAAACTGACTGAAAAGCAGGAAGTTCTATACTAAGGGTTGTTCTGAGAATTAGAGACTTCATATATGAAAAGTCTTTGGAATGGTGCTCGGTACATGAAGAGTTCTGTAAACATCTATTCTTCAGTAAAATACACCAGGAACTAAGAAATGCACCAAGGAGCCCTGGTAGCATGAGATGCTAAACACAAGGCCAACAGTTCAAGACTGTCAGCTGGTCTGAGGGAGAAAGATGGGGCTTTCGACTCCTGTGAAGATTTACTCGGAAACCCACGGGGGAAGCGCTACTCTGTTCTTCTGGGTCACTGGGCGCCAGAATTGGCTTGATGGCCATGAAGAAGTATGTGCACAATACCTTATGAGCCGCTGAAACTGAAACAGGGTGTAAGATTTTAACAAAACCAACCTCTACCAGTGTCCCTCATCTTGATTTCAGAGATGTTAAAATATGAAAAAATACCGCAGCTTATACACAATGTAATATGAGCAAACGATCAGCGTATCCTGTCGGCAGACTGTATTTGGATTCTCACTCCACTGTCTGGGGCTCAGGCTTGGCATGAGTCCTTTGGCTGGAGTCCAAGATGCAGTGCGCCCCTGGGAGTTGAAGATCAGGGTTCCAAACTGGTTAATTCCGGTTTGCACCCATGCTGAGAATCACGGACTCTGAACCAACATTTGAACAAAATCCCCAGGTAATTCTTATGGCTGGCCAGTCGATTCTTGAAGATCCTAGGTACTCTCAAAGATCTTGGTAAAATGTACATTCTGATTGAGAATGTTTGGAGTAGAAATGTAAATACAAACGGGTTTTAACTGGACCGAGTCACTTGGAAACCCTGCCTAAATTTTTTTTTTAAATGTTAAGATTTTATTTACAAAGCTTCTTTGTTGTACAGAAAGTAAAAATGTGGTTACAATCTCAGTGTAACTGGCAGCCATGAATGGCTCAAGACTCACTGGTCACAGCTACCTAGACTATAGCGAAGTCTCACAGGGACACCTAACAACGTGTACAATTGTGGTGGGGCGAAGTCCCCAGGCTTGGTGGTGGATTTCCAAGAGGGACTACAGAGAGGAAGGTGGAATGTCTCAGGAACTAGTCTTTGGCTCTTTGGGTGGGCAGGTGTCCTGGGCTTCTGAATCACAGCTACTTTTTTTTAAACTTAAACAGCTACCAAATCCTCTTGAGCAGTCCAACCAATACTGAACAGTTCTTTTTCTGCAGGTTATTTGGGGTCTTAATCATCTGTTTCTTTCTTCGGTCTTTCTCTTTTCCGCTTTCCTCCTCCTCTTCCTCTTCCTCCTCATCTTCTTCATCTTCATGAACTTCTTCCTCCCCACTGACTTCATCTTCACCGTCTTCCCCTTCCACATCTTCATCTTCGTCTTCATCAAAATACTCCTCCCATCCTCATCTTCCTCACCTCATCCTCCCTCCCCCCCCCACCCCCTCCTCTACAGCATCCACCTCAGCATCGGAGTCAGGGGCCTCCTGGTCCCCGAGGTCGTAGCCATCCAGGGAAGTCAGCCGGGGCAAGAGCTTAAAGACGCTCTCTCGGGAACCATTCGACTTGGTGGCCTCACAGCTCAACAGATCCAGACTCTTCAGACAGTCCCATCTTTTCAAAGGTTCCAAGGGGCTGATGTCTTTCAGCTTATGCCCACTTAAGTTGAGATGTGTGAGGTTGGGAAGTTTCTCCGCTAACATGTCCAGACCACCGAAGATTCTATTGTCACTGAGCTCAAGCTTTTTCAATTTCGGTAGTTTTGGGAAATTTGAAACTGAAATCAAGCCTACATTTATTAAGCTGAGGAACTCTAAGTTCACAAATTCAGCCGTTAAACCCTCAATCTTTGCATCATTTGATTTGCGGTTGTCCAGGACAAGTTCTTGAACAGCCGCCGGGGTCCGGTTCCTCAACTCCAGGTGGATCCTTCTCTCCATGTTTCCCTCTTCCCCCTCTTCAAACTTAACTTTCCGCGGTGGGGGGCAGAGCGGGAAGAGGCGTCCTGGCTTGCAAGGGCGAGGGCCTTCGGGAGAGGTCTCCCTGCCTAAAATTTATGTGAGCACTTTTGTTCTCAGTGAATTTGATCCCCAACGCGATGTGTGGAACGCGTGTATACTTACTATCTTCATTTTACCAACGAGGAGACGGAAACTCTATTTTCCCCCAACTGCATTGGTAGCCAGATATAAATTCCTTAATCCCAAAGCTTACTATTCCAAGTCCTGTCCTCTTTTTTCATACAGTCCACTGTATAATAGGGAAATAAAACCAATGAAGGAACTGGGTGCCATCTTCCCACCAGGCACTGCTGCAGGAAAAACCACAGAACAACCCTCAGTGCCTCACTTCCAGTCATACAATCACCATTGGGCCCAGAATCACCAGATCTTGGAGTTTTGTTTCAGTGCCATTTATTTAGTGAATCGTCTCTACGTGTCTTCCTGATGGTTAACATTTGATTTACAAACTGAGACAAAATAATTTCAAACAGTTACTATTTCACAACATTGCACTTTTTTTTTTAAACTGTGCCAATTTTGCAACTGGTCCAGTGCCTTTATAAGTCTGTGTACTTTCCGGACCCCCATTCATCACAGAGAGCGTTCTTTTTAGTTCAGCACTGCTACGAAACCTTAGTGTAGTTCAGCCTCGGTTCTACAGCCTGGTTTGTCCGTTGCACCGACAGGGGCTATCGTTTGACAGCTTGCTTCACAGACTTCAGCCCTTTCCTTAGAATGGAATGAAAGCCTCGGGGCTTGTGGAGTCTTGTCTCATCTTACAGATCATGGCGCTCAAGCCGGGCAGTAGAGGAGAGTCGACCAGGGCCTGAAGGGAGCTGGGGCACAGGGGAGACTCCAATTTCAATGGCTATTGTCATCCTAAGGGGATCCAGGCACCAGAACATCAGAGAAATCTATGAGTTGTTAGACATGCAGAATTTAGGGCCTCAGCCCACATTGGCTGAGTCAGAATCCACAATTTAACAAGATCCACAGTGATTTGTATGCAGTTAATTAAAATGAAGGAGTTAATTAAGCTCATTAAAATTTAAGAAGTGCTGCTTTATATTATGGAAGAGCCCTGGTGGTGTAGTGGTTAAAGTGCTAGGCAGCTAACCTAGTAGAAGTCAGCAGTAGGAACCCCAGCTGCTCTGTAGGAGAAAGATGTTGCAGTCTGTGCAATGCAGCCTGGGAAACTCTGTCGGGGAAGTGCTGCTCTCTCCCACAGAATGGCTATAAGTTGGAATCAACTTGGCTTCAGCGAATTTGCTTTATATTAGGCTGTGTTTATGCTTGCATAGATACTTGCAGGTGTGTGTGTGTGTGTTAGGTACGGGGGAGAGAAAGAGCAGAGGGTGAACTAGTGAACTAGATCATATGATTGGTTGGTTGGTTGATTGAAAATAGGGATACACACTGAGTTCAGGAGTGAGACTTGCAAGGGATACTTACCTGCAGACCCTTTCTAAATAAGTGGAAAATAAGGCATATTGGGGTCAGATTATCCAGAGAAGGTAGAAAGGAAAAATTAGTATTTAGAAGTAAGCAGACCAATATTTGACATAAGAACTACCCAATAACTTCAGGGTCTAAAAGTCAAAAAGGTCTTTAAGGTCTTAGGTTAATATCAGATGATAAAAAAACAGTTAAAACTGAAAATAGTTCCTTATAAATTTTTTGCTTGTTGTTGAGGATCCCTGGTATAATTACTATCTGCTAATCAAGAGGTTGCCAGTTTGAGTTGACCCAGTGGCTTTGTAGAAGAAAAGACTGCATTACTAGTTTCTGTAAAATCACAACCTAGGCCACCCTTTGGGCCAGTTCTGCTTGGCTGCAAGAGGTCAATGCGATCAGACAACCCAATGACAACTAACAGACTACTGGTAATTTGGCTAGCTAAGAAAGGTGCCCGCCAAATCCCGGAGCCTTTTCTAGGGCATCTGCTTCACATACTTATCTCAAGCTATGCTTGTCTTGGATTATAAAGCCTTCTGCCAACAACGAGCTCCTCGGCTCTGTCGTGCTGGCCTCAGCTGTTTTGTCACCGTCCTACCTTCCAGTCTCTGGTGTTTTGGGTTTTGACTTGCCGTTAGGTTGGTGACTACTGTTTCCTGTCTGATCCCCTGCGCCTGGTGTGTTTCCTTCTTCAGACCACTTTCTATTTGACATTGAGTCGATTCTAACTCAGGGTGACCCCATGTATGTCAAAATAGTTTCACTCTGGGGGGGTTATTTGTAATGAATGGGATTAGTAGGCTTTTCATCTGAGATGCTTCTGGGTGGACTTGAACTCTCAGTCTCTTCCTTAGCAGCCTAACTAGAGAAGGGATTTGTTGTTTAGCCAACTTTCTGCATTACCTCACAACTCTCCATTGTAGACTGATCTTCATTCAAGCTTGTTCCCCGCAACTCCCAGCACATGTTCATGGAGTTGAACCACCCTGCTTTTTA